CCTATGTCCTAGACAGTTTGTTGCAAATTTTGAAGACCAGCTGGATGAACAAAAAAAAGTGTTTTCTGAATAACGATAGGTAATAGTCCAGGGTTTAAGGTGGTTTTTATATCTTCACACTATTTATATAACGTGTAAAGTATTGAAAGATTTCCATGAATGTCAATGGGCATCTTCAGTCATTGCCATCTTTTAAAGGCTGGTAGGCTGGACTGCCAAGGCTTGGAGAGAGGTCTGTACAAGGACCCATGCCTTAGTGGAATTTAGGCTCGATCCTTTTCTGTATTTAAACACCTGATGCCATGCATCATCGATTAATCGTTTTGCTAAGCAGCCAGCAGCTCCAGAGGAGATAGCAGCACCCAGCCCTGCCGAATCTTCACCATCCCCCCAGACCTCCCCCTTACTGAGGACGAACGGTCAGTCCTCAGTAAAGGGCTCACCTTTTTCCCCCTCCACCCACACATCAACAAATATCAGTCACGTTTGGACATTGAGCAGTTTTTCTGCTGCCTCCGCCTCCGCGCTTACTTCTTTAACCGTGAGCCTAACCCTCCCTCTACTGACCCCTTCTCCCGCCTCCAACACACCCCCTCCTCCTGGACACCACCCCAAGGCCTCCTACCCTTCCTCGACCTCTTCATCTCCAACTGCCATTGAGACATCAATCACCTCAATCTCTCCACCCCTCTCACCCACTCCAACCTCTCCCCCTCAGAACATGCAGCCCTCTGCTCCCTCCGCTCCAATCCCAACCTCACCATTAAACCTGCGGACAAGGGAGGCGCAGTTGTAGTATGACGCACTGACCTCTACATCGCTGAGGCCAGGCGCCAACTCTCCGACACCACCTCCTACAGCCCCCTTGATCATGACCCCACCCCCGACCACCAAACCATCCACAACCTCATCACCTCGGGTGACCTTCCACCCACAGCCACCAACCTCATCGTTCCCCAACCCCGCACTGCCCACTTCTTTCTCCTTCCCAAAATCTACAAACCTGACTACCCTGGTCGACCCATTGTCTCTGCCTGCTCCTGCCCCACCGAACTTATCTCCACCTATCTCGACTCCATTTTCTCCCCCTTCGTCCAGGAACTCCCTATCTATGTCCGTGATACCACTCCCGTCCTCCATCTCCTCCAGAACTTCCAATTCCCCGGTCCCCAACACCTCATCTTTACCATGGACGTCCAGTCCCTATACACCTGCATTCCCCATACTGATGGCCTAAAAGCCCTCCGCTTCTTCCTGTCCCGCAGACCCGACCGGTCACCCTCCACTGATACCCTCATCTGCTTAGCCGAACTCGTCTTCACCATCAGCAACTTCTCTTTCAATTCCTCCCACTTCCTACAGACAAAGGGGGTGGCCATGGGTACCCGCATGGGCCCAAGCTATGCCTGCCTCTTCGTAGGTTACGTGGAACAATCCCTCTTCTGTACCTACACTGGCCCTAAACCCCACCTCTTCCTCCGTTACATTGACGACGGTATCAGAAACCTTTCTGAAGAAGGGTCTAGGCCCGAAACGTCAGCTTTGCTGCTTGGCCTGCTGTGTTCATCCAGCTTTACACCTCGTTATCCCAGATTCTCCAGCATCTGCAGTTCCTACTATCTCTGAATTAATATTCTTCTTGTGTGCTTTGTGTAAGGCAAGAGTATTTTGTAAGAGCTGCTAACTGAGGAACTGTTCTTGTATCCATTACTTGGTTACTTTAAGAGGGGGTCAATTCAATTGTCAAATGCAGCCATGTTTTTCCCCACTGTCGAGTATAACGCATGCTTTTCTGTCCCTAATGCAATCACATATTTTAAGACATAATAATAATTCATTAAATTAAAGCACATATATGTTAAAAAATATTGGGATGCTAGTGGCTGTTTATGTTTCAAATGATTAATCACATAGCAGCTTCTTGATTGACTTTTAGACCACCCTGTACTGGTAGGCGTGCATGTCATTTTACACCTGGTGGCAGAAAGACAATATATCTGTGTTGACTTGTGATTAATAGCAAATAATTGTCTGCACAAACATCTGCCAGTATTTTAAGCTTCTGGTTATTACTGCATATAAAGTAGCTTTTTTATTTCTCTGTAAAGATATGCATTTCATTTTAATGTTAAAGCACAGCCAATGCATGAATTTTGTGGGTGTAGGATTTGGATTACTGACAAATCAGTGTTACTGCCTTGAATTTTGCTATTAGTGAGAATTGTAACAGTTGCTGATGAGGGTGGTGGTTGGCACTCGGGCAATATAACAAATATCCTCGCTGTGATTTTTTTTTGCCTTATTTTGTTTTAATGGCCAAAAATGAAAAAAACATAACTATGATATTGTCAAATGGACTCAAACATTTACACTAAATTAGATTCTGTTTCATTGCTCACATATCCTACTATTTATACAGATATTTTAGCAATTGTATTCTGCACTGCTGAGCGAAGGGTATCATCGTCTATGCCAATGTAATTTTACTATCTTGCCGTTCGTATATTCTTGTGACTTTCATGAGAAGAACTTATTCCTATTTTGTCAAAACTTTGCTGTATGGTGAGAGATATGGTCTACTGACAATAGAATCAAAATTTCTAAAACAAAACTTTCCATTAGCAATTTGTTAAAAAAAGTTTTAACTTCACTTTAACCTCATAGATCATTGTGTCACAACTCAGATAGCCAGACAGTACAAAATAGAATTGGAACCATGTCTTCACATAAGCTTTTATTTAGAGAGACATTACATACTGTTCCTCCTTGACCTTGGAATCATAGCTAACTGAACACAGGTGCTTCCCCGTTGAAGACCATCATCTGAATACAATTAAAATCCAATTAATAGAAAATTAACATACTGGGCTGAATTTTATAGCAGTTTCCTACCAAATTCAAATTAAGTCCTGTCAGTGAATGAAAAACGGCTTGCTTTGCATTAGCAGGCAAGCAAATGGATTATGCATAGTGACTGATGAAACTGCCATGTGATCTGCAACATAACAGACCTATGTTCTAAGTTTTTTTGAATTTATCCCAGTGAAAAGAACTAAAGGGCTTTATGCTGAGATTTAAATTTGGTGAATTGTAAGACGTAAATCATGGATTTGTTGCCAACTTAACCATTAAAGGCAGTGTGTATCTCTAAAATTTGAGGATTTTCTCAACTTTCTGTGGATTTAGAAAATCATGAAGCTTGATGATCTCTTAAATGTTTCTGAAGCTGTAACCTGCCACTGATGAATAAAATTATTGGATACAATTATTTCCTGAAAACGAGTTGATTGGCTGCAATTGTTTATTGATTATTTATTAAATAATCTATCACTGTATGTATCTGAAGCTGTTTCTTTGAGCGATCATAAAGGAAATTAACAGGATATATGTCCTAATATGACCTGATATTTTGTTAAATCTTTTTCCACATTTGGCATCTTATGGCCATTTGAAATCTAAAAATAATATAGTTGACCTGAATATTTTAGTAATTTATCCTATATCAATACATTTTTCAAACCGTGCTTGATCTATATTGGCTGTACAGTGTTAGTGCTAATATCAGGTGGTTTGTAGTTTCCTTTGTGTTTTTTTTAACGAAGAAGTTTGTAACATAATAGTAGAATGTTTTTACTTTTGGAAGGATATATGTCCTGATATGACCTGATATTTTGTAAGACAATTCTTTTGTAATATAGTCGTAGAGCGTTTTTACTTAAGAAAAGATGTACTGGCACTGGAGGGGGTGCAGAGGGTATTCACTTGGTTGATTCCAGAGTTAAGAGGGTTGGCTTATGAGGAGAGGCCAAATAGACTGGGATTATATTCATTGGAATTTAGAAGAATGAGGAGGAATCTTATAGAAACATTTAAATTATGAAGGGAATAGATAAGGTAGAAGCAGGGAGGTTGTTTCCACTGGTAGGTGAAAGTAGAACAAGCAGGCATAGTCTCAAAATTCGGGGACCAGACTTAGGACTGAATTGAGGAGGAACTTCTTCACCCAAAGGATTGTGAATCTGTGGAATTCCCTGCCCAGTGAAGTAGTTGAGGCTTCTGCATTGAATGTTTTTAAAGCTAAGATTTTTTGAATAGTAAAGGAATTAACGTGGTTATGGTGAGAGGGTGGGTAAGTGGAACTGAGACCACAGAAAAGTCAACCATGATGTTATTGAATGGCACAGCAGACTTGAAGGGCCAAATAGCCTACTCCTGCTACTGGTTCTTATGTTCTTGCTTTTATACCATTAAAGTTTAAAATTCTCATTTGTAAATTCTGGAATACAGGATCAAATGTGGATAAATTCTTATGAGAGGTCTTTTTTTGGAGTATAATAGTGTTTAGCTTAGAAGCAACCATGTGAAAGATTGAAATGATGCCGAGTAAAATCATTTTGACTTGTATATTATAAATGTAAGGAAGAAATTGGAAATTTGGCCATTCAATATTTTAAGTAACAACTTAGCTTCAATTTTATGTAGTTAAAAACTGATCGCTTGAAGGTTTATTGAAAGATGCCTCTCCTGCAAGCAGTGGAAGAAAAACCATCACAATTTTTTCAATATAGATTTTTAAAATTTATTCCAGTCCCCACTCATAGGATTTTTCAATCATGTGCAATCATACTGAGTTGAAATTAATTTTATGTAAAAATACCATTACAACCAACAAAATAAGCAGACTTCTCACTTAACATTTAAATTGGATCTGCTGTCTCAGGTAGAAAGATGATGTTTTGACCGTGACCATGTTCCAGTGTTAGCCAGAGTTTATGAAACATTTTTCATTAAATTGGATTCAGTGTCAGGAGAGAGAAGTGACTTTATAACCATTATTGCCACCATCACCACTACCTACCTGCTGTGCCCTGCTAGCAAACAATGTTGCAATGAAGGCCAAAGCCTATTAACATTAACTTCTGTCAGTTTTAGACATTATCTATAATGTTGCAATATATTACCATTGTATGCTGTTCGTTAACTTCTTGCTTGTTTTACAGAAAACTGTATATGGAGCAAATGTTGTGATCTTTGAAGGAATACTTGCATTTGCAAACAAGGAACTTCTTAAGGTACTCATGTTTCTTCTGTGTTACGATATACAAGAGTAGTACTCTGTCTAGTACTAAATGTTGAAATTAATACTGTAAATTTCTAAAAGTTATCTGAAACTTAATGCAATGAATTCCTTAAGCAGAACTATAGCATTGTTGATTATAAAATCAATTCTGCATTTAAGCAGGAAAGTCAACGTTTCAGGTCTGGACCCTTCATCAGGATTGAAGGGT